CACTCTGCTTGTGGTTTCTGAGATGGACTGTGGGCACCCCTGGCATCTCTCGGCCTCCTGCCTCTCCTTTCTTGGGTCAAAACAGATGAGGATAAAATAAATAAATTAATTAATTAATTAAAAAAAATAAAGGACAGTACTCGAAAAGCTAAGGGTATGGACCATTGAAGCCTTTTGCTACTCTACAGAAGGTCCCAGGTGCAGTCCACCTAGTATCCTGTGCTTCTTTCTGGAACATGTAACCTAGCAGCAGCTCTGTTGGCACAGCACCCAGCACATCTGCAGTGGGTCTGACTCTTATAGGTCCAGCTCAATTACTAGTGATTCAGGCCAAACATTGATCAGGAATATCAATGCCAGAGCTTTGCTTTCCCAAACAAGGGGAACCTCTGCCAATCCATACACTATGAAAAGGTTAGAATTTGGAACTATAATTAGGGGAAGACTATAGAGATGATGTAGAGCAGGGTCACCAAACTACAGCCTATGTGGGCCAAACCTGCCCTCCATTTGTTCTTTGAAAAATGAAATGTTATCAGAACATAGTTATACCTGCCTTCTACATACTGTGTGTTTGATGCTACGATGCAGAGCTGAATGGGAAAAAGGCCCTATAGTCTGTGAGGTTGAAATATCTACTACCTACCTGGCCTTTAACAAAAAGTTTGCTGACCCTGATCTAGGGTTAAGTTGGCCTGTATTTCCATATACACCTCCACAAACACTCATGTCTGAGGATATATCTTCCAGAATATGACAATCCTGACCATATATAAATGGTGGAGAGAGCTTGATGACCCATGCAGAGCTCCTACAGAACTTTTAGCCTTTAAGACCAAGACTTGGTATCTTTAGTCTTATAATTCACAGCTTTTGAAGTCAAAATGACACCAAATGGGAAAGCTCCTAACAGTAAATGCTTTCCTTGGGATTTTTACTAAAATTCAAACCACACGGGTTTCAGAGCTCTATGCAATACTAGGGCAAGTAACTGCCTCTCTGAATTCCATAGCACACTTCTCCCTGGACAGTTCTGAGTGTGTTGCCCTTATTTTGTTTCAGAATGTGGGAAGAAGAGAAAGATGACCACATGCTCACTTTACAAATGAGAACACATATGCTTTTTCCCCCTTCCACAGACCGTATTATGAGGAGGGGAGAGGGGCCAGGATTTTTATCTCTGCCCGATCCACTCTCTTACACAATCAAGGACACCTCCCAGCACTCGGATGACAATGGTATTTAGTGACACAGCTCACAGTGCTGGCCAGATGCTTGTCTGAGACAAGTCCACACACTCGGCTCTGACACCTGGGTGCATCTTTACACAGGTGATATTTTAACTTTTCTCCCCGTCAGTAAAATGGATTAAAAAAACAAAACAAAAAACAACCCTCCTCCTTTCTGGTCAAGATGCCAACGTCATCATACTCATTGCACCTGAGGATTTTTTTTTTTAAGGCAGCAAGCTAGTCTTTCACTTGTTAGATATTTCTGGCGTGAAGGGCCATATAAAAAGAGCTCTATCACGTGGCGGACATAACTGAGGTCGATAGTTCCTTACTCTCCAGAAGACTTGGCCCTGGAGCTCATTGCTGCCAGGACTCCCACAACAGCAAGTCGACAGAACTAATGGGACAGGGGTCCTTCAAAGCCCCGGTTATACCTCAGTGTCAGAGAGAGAGGGACAGGAAGCTGAGATATACCCTCCATACCCACCGTAGGGTGTCCCACTGCCATTCTCGGCTCCGCTGCCTGCAGCCTGCTGCTGCCCTTGCAGCAGTGAGCTGCCCGGCTGCTCCTGACAGACATAGATGGTTAAGCGGGGCCTAACCGACCTGCAATCACAAGATGCCACTCATGAGCCAAGGAGAGAAAGCTGCCTCACCACATGTATAAATAACAACTACAGGAATCTAAGTTCTATTTCCTTATGAGAACTTTACAATGTTATTTCATTATACAAAATAAATTACTAATAAAAATATAAAAACACACACCTCACACCAACTATCACAGGTGGTCTAATCTGATGATCCAGACTCTAAACCACTGAGATGGTCTGTCAGATGCTGGTAAATTTAAGTTCCAAGATTAAGTCAGCAATTTAAAATCGGTAAGATTCAGTTTTAATGGAATTCTCACACAAGTCTAGAAATAGCAATGATAGTATATGAATCTAAAAAGCCAGCAGTTTACGGTTCTTTCATTTCAATTCACAATCAGAAGTTTACATTTTTAATAACTGTTTAGTAGTAGTCATATGACCTTGAAAACCATAGATTCTGTATAGCTCACCTAAACGAGAAGTTTGTTTTCTTGGCAACAAACCCAGTCGTCTTCAAGAAATCAGTACTGCCCATGTGCATTTCTACCAGTCTTACAGTCTATCTGCCCTCATCAGTGCCTGCATCAAATCTGGGCCTGCCCTGAAGGTGTACACAAAACAGTCTTCTTGTGAGCGCGACGCTGCCGAGGCTCGACAGCGCACACAGGCACACGCCAACCCAGTGCGGAAACCCATTCTGCCCCGGTCCCCACACAAGGAAAGGTACATAAGACATTCCTTTTAAACACAGTATTTTACCTTGACTTCAGTGAATTATACAGCCGAATTCCATCGGCTGCACCACAAATTTGTACTAAATCTTCCTTTGTCAGTTTTAATAAGTCGGCACCTGGAGAATAGCATAAAGAGATTCCTCTCAAAGAAATGGAAAAAGAACTAGCAGATTGGCAGCTTTATGACATCTGTCTTCACAGTTAGATGTCCTTCAAAACCATCACAGTCTCCTGTGTATACACAAAGAATAGACACACACAGACACACACACAACCATCACAGGTCTCCTGTGTATATAATATACCCAACAAAAGACAACACACATACACACACACCTGTTTCTCAGAGCCAAAGAAAGTGCTGGCTCTTCCATGTCCTGTATGAAGAAGGAGCTTAGAAGCCCAGAGGCTGATAAATCAGAACAATGAGCAGGGCCCGAAAGGAGTGTCTGTGCCAACACAGGATTTCACCGTCTGTATTCTGGCTGTGTGGTCATTGTGTGGATAAACATGATTCTGACCTCAGATAATTTACCTTGAGTTCACCCAGACCAATCTTTTATTTTACAAAAAAAGAAAATGTAAGTCCAGAGTTTTGGGAACTTGCCTAAAGTAACATGAGTTGGAAGGACACCTAGGTGTAGGCAGGCCTCTCTCTGCACCAAGCAATGTCAAGTCAAGCATTCTGTAACAGCAGCCAGTGTTAAGTCCACCAGACCTGAGGCCCTGAACCTAACTGTCCCCTATACCTGGGCTCCTGAGCATTAAAGAGAAAAAACCAACATGATACAGAAAAATGTTAGTTACATGCAAACAAGTGGTTAGAATAAAATGGAACTTGGAGACATTGTAGAAAATAGGTCTACCTTTCATCTAGTGCCAATATTCCACCTTTGTGTGGAAATTACCTAAAAATCGGTACAGTGGTCTGAAGCATGGTACAGAAACAGTAATAAACTGTAAGATTTCCCCACAAATATTTGGTAAGTGTAAACGACATTATCTAGATTTGCTGTAAACTACAACAGAAAAGGGGAGAGGGAGAGGCTGAGAATAAGACTGATCAGTAAAGCTGGTCATTTCTGAAGCTGGAGATGGTTACATGAGTTCATCATTTCTTCTCTCTACTTTTTATGTGTGAATGTATCCCGTAGTCTTTGGGGTTTTTTTGCCCCTTTTATTAACACTCAAGATGTAGTTTACTGGGAGAAATGAGATGCCCTCTGGGATTAAGGCATGACTTCCATGACAAATATCCACTTACCTATGCGGCTAGATAATGGGGTTATCTTTCTTTTTTTGAGGGCTTGAATGTGAGAGCCTAATAACTTTACCAGTTTGTAAAAGAAATAAAGCACTTCTTGTGAGGCACTAGCATTGATGGAGTCAGTTAAACAAAGACAGGCTCTCTCATCTCTCTGGGACCAACTCTACACCTCTGAAAACAAGGCTCCCAGTTGTGACCAGAGACGGTGTGTGCACATCCTTAACCCTCCACAGAACTGGACAGATACTCATGTGCACAGCCCTCTACAAAATGTGAATGTCCAGGAGGCTCAGAGCAGGAACTCAATCTCCTCCTCACCATTCTATTGTTGGGAAGCTCACAGGGCAAAGGCCAGAGGCCAAGCCACGTGGTCACTGGTCAGAGTAGAAAGAGCTTAGTACTCTCTAGATGGAAATATGTACCTGTCTAATCTAACAGGCATAACCTAGGCCTTCCCTCAGCTCCAAGGGTTAGAGTTTTTATGCTGGTTTTACTCATCTGTCGTCTTCTTTTTTTAAATATGTTTTTATTGATTTCAGAGAGGAAGGGAGAGAGAGAAAGAAAAATCAATGATGGGAGAGAATCATTGATTGGCTGCCTCCTGCATGCCCTCTCCTCGGGATCAAGGCCAAACCCCGGGTATGTGCCTTTGACTGAAATTGAACCTGGGACCCCTCAGTCCGCAGGTCAACGCTCTATCCACTGAGCAAAACCAGTTAGGACCACCTGTCTTCTTTATGGGAGTTCAAGATGTGTTTCCCTCTCACATACTGAAATTTTTAAATTTCCAGTTTCTGCTTAATCACAGAAATGTGGCTGGTAGGACATGACTTTTCATCCAGTACTTCAGAGAGATAAAAAGCTGTATGTGAATGACTAATCATCATAAGCATAGCAGGAAATGGCCCATACAAAAGGAAGCCATGTTCTTTGTGAAATCAAGCTTTCCTATTGGCCGGGTATGTGCACACGTTCTGTCCTCTTAAAAGGCTCAAGCTGCATGTGTATAACCACAGACCACAGCACTGCAGGCACTTTCCTGTGGCCCAGTGTTTCTCAGGACATGCTGGTCAGTGTTTTGTAGGAAAACGGTCCCAGGGCCAAATATGTTTGGGAAAAATCTCCCACCTGGCGTATCTATTACTGTCCCTCTAAATAGTTTTCTCCTGTTGCACAGCTTAATCCCTGTTAAAACCCCAGTAAATATTCTCTTCGCTTACTATGCAAGACTACACTAAATACTATAAAAACCATCCCTGAGCAGTTCATGTTATGCAATACTACACAGCAATAACGAGGAGCAAACTACTGATACACACAACCACTTGGAGAGACATTACACTGAGTGAAAAGAAAGCCAATCTCAACAGGTCACATACTGTATGATTCCATTTATATAACATTAAAATGCCAAAATCATAGGGACAGAGAACAGATTAATGGTTGCCAGGGATGAGAGATGAGGGGTGGGGGTTTAGGGCTGCATAAGGGAAATCCCTGTGATGGCATACCTCTCATCGTATCTTCAGTGGTGGTTATACAAATCTATGCATGTGATATATGACACAGAACTACATATACACAGCGCACCAATGTCAATTTCATGATCTGGATATTGTACTGTAATTATGTGAGTGAATGGTACCCTGGAGCATCTCTGCACTATCTTTGCAACTTACTGTAAAGAAAAAATTATTTCAAAATAAAAAGTTATTAAATGAAAAAACTGCATCGAACTAAATGTGCCTGTACACAAACGAGGGCACACAGAACTGGTGAGGAAGTAGATTGTACTGATGTCAGTTTCGTAATTTTGATAGTGTACAACAGGTGTGCAAAGTATTACCTCTGGGGGGAACTGGGTGCTAGGAACACGGGACTTCCTGGGACGTGTTTTAACAGCATCTTATGAATTTATAATTATTTCAACATTAAAAAAAATAAGGTTAACAGAAAGTACAGAGACAAACAAAATGTACACATGTACATGTGTATACACACACACACAAACATACCTGAAAAATTGGAAAACAGTCTTGTGTAGGAAGAAAATCTGTTTTTGAGCAGCCACTGCTGTGTTTCCTGGGTGGTGGCTGAAGGCTGAAGCTGCTATTAAAGAAAATGAATATAAATAGAAGAAACTATTCAAACCTATAAAAACATAACCCAGGCCTCTAAGCATGTTATAAAGAACATTGAAACAAAACACAGAAATCCTCCAAGTCTGATGTACAAGAACACCCCAGGAGCACTCAGTAACCCAACCGCCGACTCCAGCCTCTGTCAGAGCCTTAAAAATACAGGCCCTGGAAGCATGTGAGAGTTCGAGGAACAAGACACTTACTTCACTAGAGGTTTGCAAAACTCCATCTCCCTGATGATTTGGGGAAGAAGAATTGCTGGGGAAAAGGAAGAGGGGAAGGAAAAGATGGTTATGGTTATTATTTATATAAAATCAAGACATTAAAGGCTATTAAAATTAAGTAAACTTAAAAAAAATACTGTGTGAGAGAGCAATATAAATTTGCAATAAAAATGTTGGCACAGCCCTAGCCAGTTTGGCTCAGTGGATAGAACGTTGGCTAGCGGGCTGAAGGGCCCAGGTTTGATTCCTGTCAAGGGCGTGTACCTTGGTTTCGGGCACATCCCCAGTAGGGGGTGCACAGGAGGCAGCTGATCGATGTTTCTCTCTCATCAATGTTTCTAATTCTCTATCCCTCTCCCTTTCTCTCTTTAAAAAATCAATAAAATACATATTAAAAAAAAAAATGTTGGCACAGCCCTTGCTTGTTTGGCCTGTGAAGGGTCCCAGGTTCAATCCCGGTTAAGGGCACATGCCCAGGTTGTGGGCTTGATCCCCATGGGGGGCAGGCAGGAGGAAGCCAATCGATGATTCTCTCTCATCATTGATCTTTCTATCTCTCCCTCTCCCTTCCTCTCTGAAATCAATTATGTGCATTTCACAATTGGTCAGGGGTGAATATGATGAGATTAAGACAGAAGACTTTCTTAATTTTTGCCTTTTCTTTCTCCATCTGTGATAGTAAAAGATTCTAGTTCTATGAAATCAAAGGGCTCCAATTATCTCCAAGTTAACAGGAAAATGAAGGACACTCATTCATTTTAGTTGGGAGGAAAATGAGAAATCAAGAAAGATAAACAATTGAAAGTAGCTGCAAAAAAAAAATCTACTTTAAGAAAACAATGAGCTATAAGGATTGGTATGATAATCCTAAATCAAAATGATATCCCTTTTAATACATTTATCCATTATTAGAGGGCAGAATTCAAGAGAACAAAGAAAAAATAGCATACCACTATCCTTTTGTTTCAAAGGTAAAAGGAAAATGAGAACCAACTGCACAGCGGATGCAGCCCCCTCCCTGGTCTGGCTCTGACTCCTTTCTTAGCACTCGTACGAAAGTTTTACTTGGGTTTATTATGTTGATTGTTCAGTATCCTCCTCTATCCACTGGAACTTAAACTCCTCAGAGAGGAATTTGTCATTTAAATGTCACAGCCCCTGGAACAGTGCTGGGTGCACAGTGGGCTCTCAGAAGTAGCCAGTTAATTAGTGAGTACGTCAATTCACAGCTTATCCTAATATCGTAATTGTTTTCTAAGATGATTCAGGCTGGACTTGACCGAAAGAAGAGCCCTCTACATGGCAACATGCTGGTCTCCTGGTCTCTGAGCCCAACATTGTTTTTCTACTCTTAAAGCACAATAACTTAAAAGGCTGCCTCATCAGCTTTTCCATCTCAGGGGAAAAGCATGCTTGTGTCCCCTCAAAATCGTATATTGAACCCTTATCCACAGTGTGACAGATAGTATTAGGAGGTGGGGCCGAAACCTGCTTATCAACAGGGAAGTTCTGATCTGACTGTTACTATTCCTTCAGCCAACCCCTAACAATGCAACGTCTCCTCGGGACATCGCTGCAGCACTTCGAGAAGCCTGATCCACAGCTCCTGCTCCTACCCGCTGCTCACGAGACGCTGATTTGCACATCAAGGCCAAAGAGTAGAACAAAGTCCACCATTCCCATTTCTAAAGGCACTTAAGTTCTTTAAGGTTAAAGAGTTATTAAAAAAAAAAAGAGTTTATCTATTAGGAGAAGAAATGGAGCAGAGAAATAACCCTTGTGTAGTATGGTGAGCATCTAATTAAAGACAAATGTACTTTATAATGATTGCAATCTTAACTTATTCATAGTTTCACCTTAAAATCTCATTGTTCTGCCGAACCGGTTTGGCTCAGTGGATAGAGCATCAGCCTGCGGACTGAAGGGTCCCAGGTTGATTCCGGTCAAGGGCATGTACCTTGGTTGCGGGCACATCCCCAGTGGGGGGCGTGCAGGAGGCAGCTGATCGATTTCTCTCATCGATGTTTCTGGCTCTCTATCCCTCTCTCCCTTCTTCTCTGTAAAAAATCAATAAAATATTTTTTTTAAAAATGTCATTGTTCTTTCTCTGTCCATGAACCGCATTAATGTTCTTTTTATCTCAGAAAGAATATATCTTGAAATGCCCCCTTCTACAACTTCCATAGTCTGTGAGTGTGTGAGGCACAAAGGGCCAGGAGGAAAAGGCGGGCAGGTGAAGAAGTGATTTCCCTTGAAATGGAGGAGGTTATTTCCCATGACCACATGCGTCAGATAAACAAGTGGAAAGGTAGCTGTAAATTGAGAGAAAGGGGAACAAAGGAGCATGAGCATCAGTCAGCTGCAGGCACACGAGGACACAAAGCAGATACCTGTCTGGGACGCTGCAGGTGCTCTGCTGTGGGGAGGTGAACGTGGGCGCTGTGGAGGGACTGTTAGTCACATAGGCTGTGGGGGTGTCCGGCCACGGAGAACACTAAGGATAGAAACAAAAATACATTAACAATATGCTTTTAAAGGGTGTGGAAGAATACTTTGTATTTCACAATCTAGTCTGGCCAAACAAGATTATAAAACACAAGACACCTGACACTCATCAAGCAATGGTATGGGAACATATATTTCCTTCTATGTGGCAAGGAAAAATTTCACCTGCTATGTGTCTAGATACTGATTAATTTTAGGGAAGCCCAGAAGTGATGATAGCAGCAAAACGTCATCATTTTAAATGTATATTTATATACAATTTGCTGTCAAGAACTTTTTGCCTCCCTCTTTATCAATTCTCCAAAAGGTGCTTATCAAGGTTTAAGAATAGCAAAGACAAGAAGGATTCATAAGCAACATCTGACATCACACGGTGACCAAGACAATGCCTGTCTTACCTAGTGCTCCTTCTACCCTCACCAGTACCCACCTGCTTCCTTCATTTCTCTAGGATTAATAATCCCCAAGTAAGCCGAGACCATTCCAGTACCAAAAACACCTGTGTATGGTACTGCCTATACCTACCTATCCACATGTGTATTTCTTGTATTTTCTGGACAAGGCATAGTGAACTAAAGTATTTTTCAGCTCTAGACACAATTCTGACTAAAGATAGCACACAGCTACAAAGACACATCAACGTCAAAAGCATGCTCACAGGACAGCAAGGTGTCAAGTAAAAATCTTCAAGCCTGAGCTATGGAGGGAATCCCATCACTCACCCCACATATTCTTCCTAAAACTAATCTGCCTGAGGATGCCCCTGGTTTCAAAGGTCCCCTTTCATAGTCACTCTTCTCCTACTTTTCGCAAAAAAGGCTTCAGATCTCATGATGGCTATCCATGGGGGTATAAGATTCTCCCATACGACTGTCAGCTGATTTCTCAACAGAAACCATGCAGGCCAGAAGAGAGTGGCAAGAAATATTCAAAGTGATGAATAGCAAGAACCTGCAACCAAGATTACTTTATCCAGCAAAGCTATCATTCAGAACAGAAGGTCAGATAAAGAGCTTTGCGGATAAGAAAAAGCTAAAGGAGTTCATCACCACCAAACCAGCATTATATGAAATGCTGAAAGGTATCCTTTAAGAAGAGGAAGAAGAAAAAGGAACGCTTACCATTTGCCACAACATGGATGGAACTGGAGAGCAGATAAATACCACATGATCAAGATTTATTCAAAGATTTAGGGTAGATACTAAGAAAGTACCTGACTCTGCCCTAGCCAGTTTGGCTGGGTGGATAGAGCACTGGCCTGTGGACTGAAGGGTCCCAGGTTCAATTCCGTCAAGGGCATGTACCTTGGTTGCAGGCACATCCCCAGTAGGGGGTGTGCAGGAGACAGCTGATCGATGTTTCTCTCTCATCCATGTTTCTAACTCTCCCTTCCTCCTTGTAAAAAATCAATAAAATATATTTAAAAAAAAAAGTACACGACTCTAAAAATGGTGAGTTAGAGGATATGAGGGGATAAATGGTTTTTTGGTTTTTTTAAAATATATTTTATTGATTTTTTACAGAGAGGAAGGGAGAGAGATAGAGAGTTAGAAACACCGATGAGAGAGAAACATCGATCAGCTGCCTCCTGCACATCCCCCACCGGGGATATGCCCGCAACCAAAGTACATGCCCCTGACCAGAATCGAACCCGGGACCCTTCAGTCCGCAGGCCGACGCTCTATCCACTGAGCCAAACCGGTCTTGGCGGGGATAAGTGGTTTTAGAAGACTTGACTTGGGGTGGTGAAAACACAATATAGTGTATACAGATGATGTGGAATTATGCACCTGAAACCTATATAATTTTATTGGTCACCCCACTAAGTTCAATAAAAAAAAAAAGTCTGTGGGTTAATAAATATTTCTTTTGGCCCTAAAAAAAACCCAAAAATTTTAAAAAAAATTCTTCTCTGTGTTTCTGGTAGCTTACAATTATTTGCTTTCAAAACAATTCTGGGGGATCTACCATCAGCTGACACAGTACTGAAATAATCTATTAGGGTCATATAAAATCCATCACTGGGATATTTGGCAGATAACGCAAAAGGAACTTCAAGACCTGAAAGACACTGTCGAAAGGAAAATAAATATCTAAATAATCTTTTTCTTACCTATAAAAAAATCTAGAATTAGTTAGGTTCTGTTCTGAGATGTATTTCCAATAACACTTCTATTTTTATATTTAAAAAATTCTCAACAAAATCTGCATGGCCCTGCCTGGTTTGGCTCAGTGGTTCAAGTGTCATCCCACGCACCGAAGGGTCTTGGATTAGATTCCTAGTTGGAGCACATTCGGAAGGCAACTGATCAATGTTTCTCACATCAAGATCTCTCTCTCTTTCTCTCTAGAATCAATGAAAAAAAAAGCACACATATCCTTGGATGAGGATTAAAAAAAATAATTTTTGCCCTAGCCGGCTTTGCTCAGTGGATGGAGCATCAGCCTGCGGACTGAAGGGTCCCAGGTTCGATTCCGGCAAAGGGCACATGCCTGGGTTGCGGGCTCAATCCCCAGTAGGGGGTGTGCAGGAGGCAGCCAATCAATGATTCTCTCATCATTGATGTTTCTATCTCTCTTTCTCCCTTCCTCTCTGAAGTCAATAAAGAAATATATTTAAAAATAATAATAATTTCTATGATTTGTTGTTTTGATAAGTTGGTACCAATAATAAAATTTAAATTTTTCAACTGACTGAGAGCCTATGGTCACAGGAAATTTTAAAAATTAAATTTCTCTCTCTCTCTCTCTCTCTCTCTCTATATATATATATATATATATGATAAAATTATTAGGGTGATAATTAAAACATTTTCAGGCATAATAGTATGTCATATCATGGTAAAACCATTTAAGGGGAGTAGAAGAGAAAACAGATCAAGAAGGTAAAGCAGAGTAAACTTTCATGAACTTTTAAAACGAACAATGGTGGGTGTCAAATTGCTATGGTAGTGGAGTCCACAGAATACACTTCAAAAAGCAATGTAAATTATCTTAAATTTTAAATGCAAACACTCATTACGTCAGAAAATGGTCTCCTTTTGCAATGATTTAAATGTATGATGAAAACTTTCAGATGTCAACCTAAAAATGTGGAAAGGAGTATATTCTTTCTTAAAAATTCTTTGACGATGGAAGAGTCATGACCATTAGTGTGAAGGAGCTAAAAGGCTGTGCAGCACTCTGGGGCAGAAAGGAAGTCTCTCCAATGGTTACAAGAGCTTAAAGCAACTGACAGCCATCAGAAGCACTGATACAAGGAAAATAAAACAGAAACCCCGAATCTTATTATTTACAACTGCCCCCTTCAAAAATGGGGAAAATGATGATGTACTTATCGTTTCTACTACTATCAACTTTCCAAAAAAAAAAAAAAAAAAGGAATTTACTGGCTGGACAGCATTTCACTAAAAACCTCACACAACAAGGCCCATTCTTTTACTTTCCACCTTACAAAGTAGTTACCTCCTCAGCTTATACAGTTTGAGGAACCTAAGAGCATGTGAGCTAACAGACAGATCAAATAACTACGGGTATGCCATGCTCATAGCCATCTCCACTACCCAGAAGATCTTGCTACACTGTCGTCCTCAGATACTAAATACCACCATTAACAAGGATAACAGCAAAATAATATAAACCTTTTAACGTCAAGCCTCCCAAAATCTGCCTTGTAATTTTTACCTGTCTACCGAGGAAATGAAGCGATCAGAAGTTTCAGGTTAGTATGGCAGAGCAGCGACAGCGACACCAAATTGCCTGAAACTTCATAAACATATCTATTTTCACTTACACATCTAGACTCTTAGCAGCAGAGAAGTAGAGCTGTTAATAGCTGACATCTAAAACTTGCCCAATAAATAAGAGACTCGATTCACCCAGCAGTACAAAACTAGTGTTCAATGAAAGCTGGTTTTATGGCGAAGCCTCTACTTTTAGAAAAGAACGGATTCCAAGTTCTATAATGGCCACCAAGCACCAAGACCTGCCTGGCTGTGTTTCATAGCTTTCTCTAGCAGTCTCAACCCAGAAGGGTAGAGGCTACCAAGGAATACTTTGTTTCTTCTACCTGGTCATTCTGCCCTGTCTTTAAAAGCACGCAAAGGTGCAGGGCCTGTGTTCCTGAAGGCAACCTGTAATCCATTACCTACCCTGCACGCTTATAGTCACTGCACGCTCTGGTGCACTGGGAACAGAGTCCCTCCTCAGGGGGACTAGAAAATGACGACCCACCTGAGACTGCAGAAATCGGCACCCCTGATTTGAGTCAGTAAAATACAGCTCAGAGGCAAAGAAACAGACACACCAAGTAAGGGTTTTGTTGTGCAGTAGCTCTGAGGAACCAACCACAGTGCCTCCATTCCATGTGGGACCATTTCCCACAGCACCTTTGAACTTTAACAGGTGAGTCTGGATATCCCTCTACCGACAGCCAACTGCAGCTATCCAACACTAAGAAAAACGTTGCCTTCCTCTGCAGGCACCTGAAACAATGAAATGCTGCAGACTTTCCTTTTTAAAACAGGTTTCCAAGAGGAGCTCTAACCACCCTAGGGAATACCAAAACAAATGCAGCCCGGGGCAGCAAGCAACACACACAAGGAAGATGTGAAATCCCAGGCCAATGAACTGCTGACGTTTTGCATACTTTAGACTTGAGTCATTAATAATTTAATAATAATTTTACCATCTTCAGATTAGCTCTGGGCTCGAATAGATTTAATTTATTATGAGAACCCACTCCTTTTAATTAGTGAAGTAGTTTTTTAAAAAAAGTGGAAAGTGATTCGAGTTATCAGGATTCCCACCCCCCACCCCCACCCCCCCAAAAATGTAAGAACCACTTGTGATTCTTCAGCTGGGAAATCAGAAGAGGCTAAAAACAAAATGGGATGGAGTATATAGTTGTTCCATACAACCTTTGACTGGCATTAAAAAACCAGTTAAAATGCAACAAGTGTGCTCACCATCCTTTCAGATTTATTGTACAGAGAAGCATTTAAAACATTTTCAGTCAATGCTTTTAACTTGGAAATGATGTTCTAGTGATTGTGCTTGTGACTTTTGTAGTCTACAAATAATTAGACACGTTTAAGAGTGAAAAATTCCATTTTTGGTACCTTGATAGGATGAAGACTGCAATGATAGTGTAGCCATTAATACAGCTACATAAGAAAAGGTTTAATGCTCTGTGTTTACATTTACTGTGGATATATAGCTGATCTAGATTGTTAGATGGAGAGTTGTGTCATAAAGGAAGAATTTGCTATGCTCAAGCAGAGAAAACTCATATTCAGCCAAAAATCTCCTGGGTGTATGTTGGGGGGATCCGGATCTGAATATAGAAAGGTGCACTGCTCTGGCCTGAAGCACAAGTTCATGATGCAATGCAAGTTCACAGTGCATTGCAGAGAGGAACACTGATGTGGTCAAGGCCATTTTCCTACCAGTGCTGCCAAACAGGCTTTTAAAAGCACAGACACACATTCTTACACTACATGCAGGGAAATGTGACACAAAGTATTGCGTATGTTAATGTCAAGCTTGCTGCCATCATTTCTCTAAATAGCCATGAAATTTTCTTATCAGTTATACACATGAGGAAGCAACACCCTTTAAAATTAAACAAAAATGATAACTATTTTACTAAAGAATGTATTTTTAATTAATTTCAGTGCTCTTAAAGGAAGTGTGTGTGCCGAGGAGGGAGGGAGAAAGGGAAGGAGACAGGGAGGGAACACATTTCTGAGTGTCATTTTTCCCTCCAAAACCACCCAATAAGGTCAACTTTGTTTTTAAAGTGTTAGATTTAGGAAATTTTCCTCAGCGAGGAACAAACAGAAAGCAGGAAGTCTAAACAAAAGCAAATTAAATCAAGACAAGGACATCAAAAACAAATTTGGCTTTACTTTTCAGTGGAAGTAGGTCCTATATCTAACACTGCACAAGGTTTCTTGCACAATGAAAGGAGAAGCAGAAGTCCCTTACACTGCCTCGCTTTGCCAGAGAATCACCGTAGTCTGCTGGCAAAGTCCGCTTGCTGGACTTTTTCTGCTCATGTTCAACTGCATCTTCAATTATAGGCTCAAGCCTCATCTGGACAAACACCAAAGATTGGGATCAATGTCTTTTCATTATACAAAGAAAGATCCAATACCCTGTTTTATGTCTCTGCAGTCCAATTAAACAATTGCATGATTAGCAGGATTCAAAGTTAAAGAAAATGCAAAACCCCAGCAGTGACAAAAATCAAACTTTCTAGGCCCCGGTTTAATCTCTAGTCAACTTCAAGGTTTTTAAGGTCTGTTTCTAAGACCTGATTGGGATTTCAGCATCTTCATTCAAGATCCCACCCAGGAAACTAATCCATTAAAATCCCAGAATTTAAATAATATATTTCCCCCACAAATTTCACAAGAATATGTCAAACTACCCCCCAACCTACCCCAACCCCTTCTTGGCAAAGCTCATCCTTATAAATAGTGCTAATATTCAAACCTCTGCTTCTCTCCAAACACCAAAATGCTGCTCTGCATTACCTCTGTGAGGATTGTGGTATCATAGGATGGCTGATACTTTTCTTTTTCGTGAGCAGTTCTCTTCTCCATCTTCTCTCGGTCAGTTTTTTGCTTCCGGTCTGCACCTTTAGGCTGAAAAACAAAGTAGATTACTTTGTCCACCAGGTTCCAAACAACTTTATAAGCAAAACTGGGCTTTCATTACTGGAAGCCTGGTTTCCGTCTCTTACCTTAAAAACTTTGATTTGGCAGCTAGCTGAGTGCAGATGATCTGTATATTCTCCATTTTCATTCTGCTTAAAGGTGTCAACCTGGATCCTGAAAGGCACTCCCTTTTCACCTCCATGCTTCCGTGGAGTAAATTCTGTGCTGATGCAGTGCACCTGGACAATTGGAGATGGATTCAAAGTACCATCCACTGGTTTGTCCCTCTGGATGCCCTGTCACCGCTATAAATGTAAGGCCCTTTAAAACAAACTCCCACATCTTAGCCAAGTGTCTGTTAGGAATTTCTGATTGCTGCTAATATATGGTTTTCCTTTCACAAAGCCAGCCGATCCTTTCTGAACTCTCTGGGAAAGAGCTCTTCCCCGATTCCAAAGCCTCTCCTCTAAGGAAGAACTTGCTGTGACCATGGGTACAGCAGTACAGAGGCTTCCTGCCTACTTCCCTACCTCCACTCCAGACCGCATACTGCTCTCAGGCTCAGCTAAGCCTTGCATGTGGCTCAATCCACAGCAACCTTGAGCTCATCATTCAAAGCTTCCACTGTTGCGCTCTATTGCAAAATACCAATCATCTTACTGTTACTCCAACCTCCATCAACTTGGAATACTTTTGCCTGGGGAACTTCCACGGCCCAGAAAGCCCACCACTTCTTACCTGTAGCCATCTAAACCAGCGGTTCTCAACCTGTGGGTCACGACCCAATGTACTTATGGTTGACATGAAATGCCTGAGAGTTGCTTTAAAGTATTCCATCAATAACTTAAAAGGGGGAAACTACTAATAACTGTTGAAAGGTGATGAGTACACAGAGAATTCATTCTTCTTATTCTCTTTTGTGATTTGAAAATTTCAGCATTAGAATGTTGCTAACAGAATTTTAAAACAGTACACTTTTTTCCGCCACATCTTTTATTTATTTATTTTTTAATATATTGTATTGATTTTTTTTTTTTACAGAGACTCTTCTGTCAATCCTTCCAAAGGTCCTAAGGGCAATACTCATCTTCCATCACTCTGTACCCTCTCCTAATACCACCATGGAGACAGCGTTAGGATACTTCACAGGATCAGTAAACAGGTCTTGATAATTTCTGACTATTACACATCCTGTAATACACATCCTATCTCCTAGTGACTCTCAAAGTGAAAACTGATCTCTGCAGGATACTGTGCACTACCTGATATATAAGGCCAGCTCCTACCTCTTTCACTCACTGTACATCTAGTTATCCTGTTAGACAAACAGTGTGAGAAAATATTCAACGAATACGAACCATGTTCCTAGTGACTACTAATTAATGGAAGATAGTATTTGCCAGAGCACAAAAATTCAAAATACCAGATTCTTTACTATTCACAAAAACTACAGTCTACATAGGCTGGTCAGCAATTAAGCAGTATGTTTTTTCTACGTAAGATTATCACTCAGTATATTTTTAAATATACTTTTATTGACTTCAGAGAAAAAGGGAGAGGGAGAGAAAGATAGAAACATCAATGATGCGAGAGAATCATTGATCGGCTGCCTCCTGCACACCCCCCACTGGGAATCAAGCCCACAAACCGGACATGTACCCTTGACTGGAATCGAACCTGGGACCCTTCAATCCGCAGGCCGACGCTCTATCCACTGAGCCAAACCAGCTAGGGCCCTGCTCAGTATTTTTAATCTTTCCACTTACAAATCTGAACATCCTGGGTATTAGAATTACCATGGGTTTTATGGTATATATA